CGACGCGACACCAGGGGACCCTGTCCAAAGACTGGTCGGTGAAGCCTCCGGCCGAGAGACGCGTGGCCAGAGGTTCAGCTGGTGCGCGGCGTACCTGACCGCGTATGGCCACAGGAAATGGGGGGCACGGGCGTGAGTCAAGGAGGTGCGGGCAATCTCCATGACCAGGCCTATGCGACGCTCAGCAACCCCATTCTGCTGTGGGGACTCCGGAAGCGTCCAGGACTGACGAATGCCCTGTTCGCGACAGAATCCAGCGAGAATGCCGGAGCGAAACTCGCCCCCGCGGTCGGAGTGGAGACAGCTGACACGACGACCACGAGTGTCCTGGGTGGTAAGCAACCACCTGATCAGCGTAGAAGTCACCTCAGACTTCCTCGCCAGGGGGAACACTGTGGTGTAGCGGGAGTAGTCGTCAACGACCACCAAAAAGAAACGCTCACGCTCAGGGCCAGGGCGAGGAGAGGGGCCCCAGACGTCCAAGTGCAGCGTCTCAAAAGGCTCGGTGGCCGGACGAAGGGAGGAGGAGTGGGGGGTGGCGCGCAGCCTACCCTCGACGCAAGGACCGCACGGTGGTGCAAGGGACGGCGGCAGCGACGGCAAGACACGCGGGAGACCTAAGACAAGACGCTGACGAGACATAGCGCGAAGACGAGGAGGAGAAGGGTGCCCCAGCCGGTGGTGCCACAAAACGGTGGGGTGGGCAAGCGACCGACAGGAGCACGACGCAGCGACCGGACTAGACGGAGGAACCTGACAAGACACAGCTACCTGGGGGGACGGAGCAACCTGGTGAGACGCGAGGACTCGAACGGGAGGCAAAACAGGGGCCGGGGGCAGGAGGGGCGGCTGTGGCTGCGGCTGCGGCTGCTGCCGCTGCTGCTGCTGCGGCTGCTGCTGCTGCTGCTGCTGCGGCTGCTGCTGCTGCTGCAGTCGCTGCTGAGCGCGCGGGCGAGTGTGAAGAGTGTAGAGACCGGAGCCCGGCTCAGCAGCAAAAGTGGCGAGGGGCTGGTAAGAGTCCCCGTCAACACACACCGCAGTCTCTCCAGAAGGCTCAAACCACACACCCACGTGCTGACTCACGAGGGGTCGCACGCCCACCAAGTTCCGGGAGAACGAGGGGACGTGAAACCCAGTGAGAGACCCAGAAGGAGCAGCCGGACACGGCAAGGTGGTAGTGTGACGCGCGGTGACTGGTCCCGAAGTGGGATCAGCCAGCGCCACAGAAACAGGCGCAGGAAGAGGCGTAAGTGTCGTGCTGTCACGAAAGAAGCAGTGAGAAGCTCCAGAGTCCAGCGTGAACGACAGCGAACCGTCCTCTGAGGTAGCCGCTGGACTAGAGTCTACACAAGAACCTACACTAGCAACAGGCAACTGAGCAAGGCTAGCACCTAAGCTAACAACACCAGAGTAAGCAGAGTCAGAAACACTAGAGTCAACAACAGCATACATAGCATGGGGAGTACCAATGAGATCAACTAACTGCTCAGCAGACATGCCCCAGAGAGCGGAGCCGTAGCGCTGAACAAGAGGCAGCCAGTCAGGGGCAGGAGCACCAACCCCGTAGACCAAACGAACCGTGTCAGTGAGCTGAGCAAAGCACTGACCAGGGGGGTGAAACCGGCCACAAGGGTGGCCACGACGAGGGCCTGTCAGAACCTGGTAGGTGCAGGGAGTGTAAGCAGCACCGCGCTGGGTCTGACGCAGCCCCGACCCTGGAGCCAGCTGCTGCCGCTGCTGCTGCTGAGGCTGCTGGGAGGAGAGGGGCTGCTTGTGCTGTAGAAGCTGCTGCTGACGCTGAGCCTGGTACCACGCCGCTGCTCCACCAACCGGGGCAGGAAGTACAGGAGGCGACTGACGAACTCGGGCGTCGCCACCACCAGCAGGCGCAGTGGAGTCACCAGTCACTGCACGAGGCGCCTCTCCAGGCCCTGAACCTCCACCGCCGCCAGGCGCAACGCCACCTCCACTACCTCCGCCTCCACCTCCACTACCACCACCAGAACCGCCTTTCTTGCCACTCCTACCGCGGGACCGCGACGCAGTCGTAACAGCAGCTGCAGTCGCGTCAGTAGCGGCAGTGGCAAGTGAGGCAGTAAAGGTGGGTAACTGCGGGACTGTGCACCCGTGGAAGAGTGGGGGGGGCACAGCACCAGAGGCAGCGGCTACCGAGCGAAGGTTGCTCTCGACGTCCTTGAGTGCAGACTCAAGGACCTCGACGGTGAGCTCACTAGGGTGCTTCAGCAGAAGCGCGTCGCGAACGGAGGCAAGGCGGTCAGGGAGGCTAGTGGCGATGAAATAGATAGTAATCGCCATAGGGGGAGGAAGCAGTGCAAGCTGTGCCTCAGTGCAAGCAGCGCGGTAACTAGCGTCGAGCGAGCGGAGGTGAGCGATCAAGTCAGCAGAGCGCTCAAAAGACGCTAGGTCAGGAAACAGGAACGGGAGGAACAGGCGGCCAAGAGAGACAGCAGCGGGAGTAGAGTAGCGGGCCTTAATCGCAGTGAGGTACGCAGCAGCGGTGCGAACCTGAGTGAAGTGAACCTCCTCAGACTCAGGGAGGAGGCTGCTGAGCGCGATGCAGGCCGCAGCGTCACGTGACGTCCAAGCCGTCTGGTCAGCTCGCTGAGTGGCAAAGCGGGCTCTAGCGGCGTCGTCAGGGGCAGGTCCTAAAGGCGTAGGGTCGGGGGGCGCAGGTAGGGCACCAGTAGCGTGCGCCCAGAGGGTCTCGCCTGCCTGGACCTGACTCTCTAACAGGCGGCGAGCGCGAAGAAGCCAGACTGGGAAATCGAGCGGGCGACCGTCAGCATCGAAACGAAGGACGCGAGGGGTCGCCATAGTGTGCAAACGGAATTGGCAGGGAAAGCAGGGCGCAGCGGCAAGGGAGAACGGGCAGGAAGAGCGGGCAAGAGCGGGCGGGTAGGTCAGGTGTGGCGGGCGCGCGGGTAGGGCAAAGGCTAGGGCGCGAGCTGGGGAGACGGGCTGGGGCGCGGGCCAGGGCGACGGATCGACGGGCAGCAGGGGGAAACGCGGGTCGACAGGCAGCGGGGGGAAGCGCGGGTCGACGGGCAGCGGGGGGAAGCGCGGGTCGACGGGCAGCGGGGGGAAGCGCGGGTCGACGGGCAGCGGGGGGAAGCGCGGGTCGACGGGCAGCGGGGGGAAGCGCGGGTCGACGGGCAGCGGGGGGAAGCGCGGGTCGACGGGCAGCGGGGGGAAGCGCGGGTCGACGGGCAGCGGGGGGAAGCGCGGGTCGACGGGCAGCGGGGGGAAGCGCGGGTCGACGGGCAGCGGGGGGAAGCGCGGGTCGACGGGCAGCGGGGGGAAGCGCGGGTCGACGGGCAGCGGGGGGAAGCGCGGGTCGACGGGCAGCGGGGGGAAGCGCGCCTCGACGGGCATCAGGGGGGGAAAGCGCAGCGCGACCGGCAGCGGTACGCTAGATCGGGCTACGCTAGATCGGGAGGAAGAACGAGCGGTAACGAACGAACGGGACTAGATCGGGCCGGCACTAGGCTCGGGCAAGACGGGCGAAACGAGAGCTAGGATCAGGCTCGGGTGGTACGATCGGAGAACGGAGAAACGGGATCCCACAGGATCCTAACCTAACTGATACCATGTCAGAATGAGGAATGAATGGTGCATTGATGTTGGTTGGGGTACATATAGCTAACCCTAAGTTTTGTACCCCCTAAGACAAACCTCACTATAGGCTACAACATTTGACAATGCGGTGCAGTTTAGTGTGACTGCAGTTGAATGGAGCTAAGAATTGTTGTGTGAATATGTTTTTGTGCACTGAATCAAAACCAAGCGTGCATGGATGGCACAACATGCTTCATGCAGTTTGGAAGGCCCGGGAGGCCTGATTGTGCATTCAAAATTCTGAAGTTGTACTATCTCTATGCAAAAATGGTTGTATTATAGGGTGTAGCAGCAAGATGTTCATTTTTTTATATCTTTCAGTAATGACGTTTTTGAGTGCGATCCTTCTGCCTGGATTCTTTCCACTCAACAAGGACGCCACATGGCACAAATGGATTGAACAGTGCGAACAGATAAGGTTGAGATGGCAGGGAGGGGCGTCTCTACACAAGGCGGGGAGAAGAACTTGCCGCTAGATTCATCTCACCCCGCACCTTTTCTCACCCCCCCTCATCTCTTTGTACCTATCGCGCGCATAGTCTGCTCCGTTATTAGCTCAAGGCGTCGACATAACCACTCACTACATCCTGTGCTGAACTGGTCGGCAAATTGGCAGACTGGAGCGACCTATCTGGTTTCAACGCGACTTAGCTAGATCTCGGTGGTCGCGGATCGCGGTCGACATGCCCAGATCGCGTCGCGTGGTAGTCAGCAGGACGACGTGACCCAGCCAGTTAGGTCGTCTTACCTCGATCAATATCATTCTCCGACCATGGCGATCACCGTAGCGGCGTTAACTGTTTGTGCCAGCTTGTCAACGTGGTCGGCCTTCTTGAACTACCCGTTTCCCCCGTTACAGCCAGTGCGGTCAGGATGTTTCAGGCCCTGAGAATGTATGCCTTCAACAGCGTCACAAAATCCCATAATCGTTCCCCTTCTGTCGTAGTCTACCGGGACGGATACTCCCATGTGCTGCTCTCTTCGCCTTCCAGCTGGCAACACGGCGTTAAAGCTGCTAGCTGGTATTCGCGCAGAACGAATTTGATAAATAGGCATTACATCGACTAAGAAGAAGCGTTACATGAATACGCATCCAGTAAAGCAAACACCTATTCATCAGTGCAAACATCACTCAAGGGTAGGAAAACTGGCAAGGCACGCCATACCGTGGGCTTGCCAGCATTCCTACCCCTGATCCCGAAAGCCTGCTACTAATTTCCACGCCTAAACTCAACAGAGCCACGTCAACTACTCGCACCCACTCGGCATGTCGCGTCATCTAAATAAAGGACTTGGAAAGAACTTGAATAGGAACTGGCTACTGCTTCCTCTCATGAGTGGTTCCTCTCATGATTTCGGGGGGATCAAGCGGTGGAAGGAGCAACGGGAAATTTCACCCCCATCAGCTGCCCACCCCAGGTCACTCCCGACGCGCTGCTTCCAGCCAGCACGGCGTATCCGGTCACTGTGCTGTTCATTCCGCCGCTCGCCCCAACACCCGGAAAACCACCTGAAATTGCGCCTGCAGACGGCGGCTGCTGCTGGCCCCCCTGCGGCTGTCCCCCCTGCTGCTTCCCCCCCTGCTTGGCGGGGGCCAGCGTGCGCAGCAGCAGCCTGCCCACCCCCAGCCCCATGCGCCTGCTGCCCTGCCCTTTCCCCGCGCCCCCCGCGCCGCTTCCGCCGCCGCCGCGGCCGCCGCGGCCGCCGCCTTGCGGAAGCGTCGCGTTCGGGACGACGGCGAGGAGCGCCTCGACGGTGGCGGCGTCCGCGTTCTCGAGGAACGCGTCGAGGCGCGCTTCCGCGTGCAGCAGCCACCACCCCGCGCGCTGCTGCCAGTCGGACGCGGAGACGGGCAGCGCCAGGGCGGCGGAAGCGGAGGAGTCGCAGACGGCGCCCTGCACGATCGCGAGCGAGTCGGGCGGACCGCCGGCGGCGCCGACTAGGAGAGCGTCTACGACGAGGTTGTAGTTCCCGGTGGCGTTTCTGAGAGCCAGAGAAAGGATAAGTGCGGAAGGGGGAAGGAGATGAGCGAATGACGGGAAGGGAGGGAGGGGGAAACAACGATCGTAACTGCTTCAAGCGGGTAGAAAGGTTGGAATTTGTCACTGCTGCGTAGGAAAGGGGAAAAACATCAGTAGTATTCCCTGTGGGAAATATCGCTTACTTGAAAATGGCGAGGTGAAAGCGGCCGTCAAGGATTTCCTGATCCGCGGAGCAGTTGGCCAGTCGCGCGCCAACGTCGGCCGTCAGATTCCCGACAACCGTCAGATTCAGCGGAGGGCCGCGCGGCTCCCCGCCGGGCGCGCCTGCGGGCCCACCAGGTCCGCCGGGTGCGCCGCCGGGGCCATCGGGGCCTCCGCGCGCCCCCCCCGGCCCCTGTCCGCCGGGACGGCTTCCGCCAGGCGGACCACGCTGCGCGGAGGCGGAAGTGGCTGCGAGGAGGAGGATGCACGCGAGGAAAAGCCTGGTGACTGCCATCGCTGTGGTTGAAGAGTAACTGGGAGTGTTCTGGTTGTGTTGGAAGAGTTTTGACGCGGGCTAATGGACGGACTAAGATTCAAGAGGCTTATCGAATGAGGTAACCAATTGGCGATGGAGGGAACATGCAGATCGATGGCTATTTATCCAAAATCAAATTGCCCAGGGGGAGGTTTCGTACCGAGGCGCAAAGAAGGGGCCTGGCCAGGCCAACAAGGTTTTGTCCAGGGGCTAGGTCCGACACGTCCTTCAGCAACGCGATTGGCTTTCAAGGTTCTCCGAACCTCCGGTAAAGGTTAGGAGACGAAGCTCCACATATCGACGTTGAAAATACACGAACCAGTCAATAAATGGGTCAACGCGTAGGGGAAATAAAGACACATAAACTGAGTCAACGTGCAATTCAAGATAACGCGCTACAGTATGCCCCGGCACAACTACAAAGGCCAAGAAAAACAATCACTCATACGAGCTAGGTATGATAGCTTGAGCACAAACAGGTGCCCTTTTCAGGCGACAAACCCCAAATGAACCAGCTATACCATCAAGTTGCCCAGATAATGCTTCTCTGAGAGTCATCAGTTATGAAATACCTCCCACCATTCCTAGACAACGGATATTCTTATCTGAGCATTCAACAACATACGGTACATTCCACTTACTACACTAGCTCCAACTCATGGTTCATCATGTATCTGTTTGTTCTGCAGCAGCCTGTAAACCAAACCCAACGCCCGTCCTATATCCTGAACAATTATTCGTCACATCTGTACCCTTCTGTCACTCCACTTCGGCCGTCATGGCCGCAGCATCCCTGGCCGCAGCCACAGCAGTCCCGAGCATCCCGCATCACCCACAGCCACAGCGCCCCCAGAGCATCCCACCCACAGCACCCACTGCCACAGCATCCTGAGCCGCAGCCACAGCGCTCACTGCACACATCACTTCACTTGGTCCGTGAGCGGCCTGTCGTCGGCGATGCCCACTCCAAGCATGCGGCAACGACAGCACTTGAGTGCTACCAACCACCAGCAGCCACATGCAAGCCCGAACACACCACGTCCCACTCGCGGGTCCCACATCCTTTTCCTGTGCGTCACCAAGCACCTGATCACCACAACCAGCAGCACCAGCAGCACCAGCAGCACCAGCAGCAGCAGCAGCAGCAGCAGCAGCAGCATCAGCAGTAGAAGCATGTGAATCGTACCCCACCCATATCCCACTAGTGCGTGTCCAACCCCGTCTCACTCCACTCCCAAAGCCGCAGCATCCCTGGCCACAGCACCGACTGCATGCATCACCTCCCGCATGAATGGCCATCGCTCTGACGTTCTCTCCAGACACCTCAGCGCCACCACCAGCAGCACTGGCAGTACCAGCAGCAGCAGCATGTGAACGTTGTGCCACTACCTTTTCTTTGCTCACAACGCTGCAGCATCCCTGGCCACTGCACCCACGGCATGCATCACCTCCCGCATGAACGGCCGTCGCTCTGATATTCTCTCCAGACACCTGAGCGACTTTTGAGGCGCCTCAAAACCTGAGCGCCACCACCAGCAGAAAAGAGTGAGCCGTACCGCAGGTCCCAGTGATGTGTGTCCAACCCCATCTCACTCCACTACACTCCCGTTACATCACCCCAAAGCTGCAGCATCCCAAGCCACTGCAGAGAAGTATGCCCCAGGTCCCAGTGGTGTGTGTCGAACCCCGTCTCAGCACACTCCCATTACATTACCCCAAAGCTGCAGCATCCCTAGCCACTGCACCCACGGCATGCATCACCTCCCGCATGAACGGCCGTCGCTCTGACGTTCTTTCCAGACACCTCAGTGCCACCACCAGCAGCCGGTGAGCCAACCCCACATCCCACTCCCCTGCTGACGGATCTAACTGCCCCATTCCCCAGCTGCTGCTGCTGCTGCTGCTGCTTCCACTACCACTGCCGCTGCCACCACTGCCGCCGCCGCCGCCGCCACTGCTTTCCAGCCCCGCAATAACCGCCGCAGCACGAACCGGACTCCTCAGAACATCAAACGGGAGCGAGCTAAGATATCTGTGCAGGTCCCTGGCAGCAGGGAAGCGCGTCAACAGCAGCATCAGCACCACCCCGTACGCATACACATCCGACTTGGTCGTCAACTCCCCGGATTCCACCGCTTCGGGGTCTATAAACCCGATTGTCCCACGAACTTTCCGGGTAAACACGACGTTGGAGGACGGGACGACGCAGGAGAGGCCCACGTCAGCGACCTTGCTGGTGCGTGATTGGTCGAGGAGAATGTTGTCGGGCTTTAAGTCTCGGTGGAGGATGGGCGGGTGGGACTGGTGCAGGCAGAGCAGCGCCGAGGCCACCTCTGCTGCGATGCGGATGCGGTCGCGCCATGACAGGTGGAGGGGGAGTGGGAAGTTTGAGGCCGGTGTGGGAGCAGGTACTGCTGCTGCCGCTGCTGCTGCTGCTCCTGGTTCTGCTATCACTGCTGCTGCTTCCCCTGCTCCTGCCGCTTCCACTGCTCCTGCTGCTCCTGCTGCTGCAACTGCATCAGCTGCCCCATTCTTAGCCCTTAGCAGCTGGTCCTGCAGACTCCCTCCCCCCATGAACTCGTAAACCAGAGACAGATCATGGTCACACCGCCCCACCAGGCACACGATGTGGGTGTGCTGCACGCGCAGCAGAATATCCACCTCTCTCACAAACGCCTCTATTGCCTCCTGCTTGCTGCCTGACCTGTGCACCTTCACAGCTACTTCGAGGCCGTTGGTGCTTTCGTTACCACTCCGGTTACCAGTGTGGTTAAAAGTCTGGTTACTGCTCTGGTTACCACTCCGGTTACTGCTCTGGTTACCATGCTGTGCGCCTTCAGACGACTCTCCTCCGCCGCCAGCTGGCGCACCGTAATTGGCCGGATCCAGCCACCCGCGATACACGGGGCCGTACGCCCCACTTCCGAGAAGATTCTCCTGGGAGAATCCGTCGGTGATAGTTTCCAGGTCAGCAGGGGAGAAGAGCAGGCAGCGGGGAGGGGAGGGGGCTGGGTGGGACGGAGAGGAGGTGGAGGCGGAGGAGGGAGGGGGAACACGAGAATCAGGTGTTGCTACTACAGGGGACACTAACAAAGGTGCTTGTACTTGAGAAAGGTTTGCTGCTACAGGGGGGTTTGATCCTGACGAAGATGTTGAACTTGTTTTTGACGAAGGTGCTGGGAGAGCATCCAAGCCATGAGGGACCTCCAAGCCAGCCGCACTGCGCCCATGATGCACATGCAGAGCACCTTCCTCTGTCTCTCCGAATCTCTTCCCTTCCTGCTCCTGCTGCTGCTCTTGCCCCTTCCGCTGCCCCTCCCCCTGCCCCTTCCCCTTCCCCTGCACCTTCCCCTGCCCCTGCTCCCGCCCCTGCCCCGGCGACCCCGCCCTTCCCAGCGGCCTTTTCCATCTCACGGAATGCCGAGAGCTGTCGCTGTTCCTCCTCGGCTTCTCCCCTCCCGCCTCCTCTTGCACCTCTCTCTCGCTGGTGAAGCCTGAGAAGGAAGAGCGACGGGGCCCTTGCTCTGCCATGCATGGGTCAACACTGCCCCCCTGCACCTGCTGCACCTGCTGCACCTGCTGCACCTGCTGCACCTCCTCCTCCTGCGGCTGCTGCTGCTCTTCCTCCTCTAACACCGCCACTGCTGCACATTCCGCTGCTGACCCTGTCGACCGATCAAAGATACTCCTGCTGCTGCTGCTACTGTTGCTCCCGGACCCTGCTCCTCCTGCTCCTCCTGCTCCTCCTGCTGACGCGCCCGCCCGTTCCTCAGATGCTTGTTCGTCCCTACGTAGCCGCTGTGCCAGCTCCGCCATCTCCTGGCAGAGAAATCCGTTGAGCTGCATGCTCGTGCGGGAGGGCTGCAAGGAGTCATGTTGGGGGAGGGGCAGGAGAAGAGGGAAAAGGGCAGGTTCAAGGATGTACCAACTCCACGATCTCCAGGCACAGGAAGCCGTTTAGCTGCATGCTCGTGCGGGAGGGCTGGTGGGGACACGTGGGTGGGGTTGGAGAGAAAGGGGAGGTGAGAGGATAAGTCACGAGAGAAGGGGCCTGGTGAGAGAAGGGGCAGAGTGGTTGTGCCAGCTAGCCAGCTAGCCAGCTAGCCATCTCCTGGCAGAGAAAGCCGTTGAGCTGCATGCTCGTGCGGGAGGGCTGCAAGGGGGTTGGTTTGTGGGGGGTGAGGGGGAGGTTGGGGGGTGGTGTAAATAAGAGAAGAGGCAAGGGGGGAGTGTCAAGGCGCTGTGTGAAGCCGCTGTGCCAGCTCAGCCATCTCCTGGCACAGGAAACCATTGAGCTGCATGCTCGTGTGGGAGGGCTGCGAGGGGGGTGGTTGGTATGGGGGTGAGGGGGTTGGGGGGTTGAGGGGATAAGAGACGAGGGAAGAGGGGAGGAGGGTCAAGGCGCTGCGGAGCCGCTGGCCATCCCCTAACAGAGAAAGTCGTTGAGCTGCATGCTCGTGTGGGAGGGGGTTGGTCTTGGTGGGTAGAAGGGGGCGGGGTTAAGTCGGCTTAAAAGTCATCTTTTGGTCAGCTTCTGAAATCCGTTCAGCTGGATGTTAGTGCGGGAGGGTCGGAGGGAACTGTTGGGGTAGAGCAGGGGGTTGGGGATATGTAAGTCAATCACATTCACCCACCACAGCGACGCCCAGCCCCAAGTCATCCGCCAGCCAGTGGTGCCCCAGCCAGTCATCCCCTCTTCTACAAGTGACACCTCATGCACGCGCTACACTCCAAACAGTCACAACGTAAACACTCACCGTAGCACTAGACGACCAGCTGTTGGTGGAAAGAGCCACCACAGCCGTCTGGCAGCCACCACAGCCGTCTGGCAGCCACCACAGCCGTCTGGCAGCCACCACAGCCGTCTGGCAGCCACCACAGCCGTCTGGCAGCCACCACAGCCGTCTGGCAGCCACCACAGCCGTCTGGCAGCCACCACAGCCGTCTGGCAGCCACCACAGCCGTCTGGCAGCCACCACAGCCGCGCCCAGTCCAATAAAGTCACACCTACCACGATTACAACAGCCCGGTCCTCACCGTAGCACTGGAAGACCAGCTGTTGATGGAGATGCGCCGCGCAGCCACCACAGCCACCAGAGCCGTCACAGCCACCACAACCCAATAAGGCCACACTCAACACACTCACACCCATAGAGCTAGAGCTCACCGTAGCGCTGGAAGACCAGCTGTTCATGGAGATGCGCCGAGCTGCCACCACAACCGCACCCAACCCCATGTCATCCCCCAGCCAGTCATCCTCGTCCTCCCCTCTTTTTCCAGCAGTCACACCTCTTACACTCGTCTCGTCCTTCCTATCAAAACCATAGAGCTCACCGTAGCGCTGGAAGACCAGCTGTTCATGGAGATGCGTCGAGCAGCCACCACAGCCGCACCCAACCCCATGTCATCCCCCAGCCAGTCATCCTCGTCCTCCTCGTCTCCCCCCAGCGCTTCCAGTAGCCGCCGCCTCGCCATCTCTGCTGCAGTCAGCTCTCTCCCTTCATTCCCCCCACCATTTCCATTCCCCTCCCCATCCACATCCCCACTCCCCACCACCCCCAGTGCTTCCTGCAACCGCCGCCTCGCCATCTCCGCCGCGGTTAACTCTCCCCCATCACCCCCTTCCCTCCCCCCCTCCCCATCCCCGTACCCATCCCCACCGCTCCCCACCATGCCAAGTGCCTCCCTCAACTGTTGTCGAGCCATCGCCTCTGCAGGCAATGCCTCCTCCTCCCCAGCCCTCGCTCCATCCCCCATCCTATCGCCGCCCCTTTCCCGCAGCACAGCTGCTGTGTGCATGCCCCGGGGCTCCCGAGGCTGCCTCCAAGCCAAATCTTGTGCGCCTGCCGAGGCTGTTGCCGTGCCTGCTGCACTGCTCCCTCTCATGACTGCCATGCCACTGCTGCTGCTGGTGTTGGTGGTTTCGCTATCATCTGCAGCCCATGGGTTGGAGAACACGGCTTCTTGCTGCACACACAGCGACGAGCGCCGCGGTTGCGGCTGCTCCGGAGGCTGATGGGGAGAGATTGGAGTGAGGGGAAAGGGAGGGGAGGCAGAGGGGGGGGAACGGGAGGGGAATTTTTTTAGTCGACTCAGAAATGCTACTGCTGCTGCTGGTGTTGCTGGTTTCGCTACCATCTGCAGCCCATGGGTTGGAGAACCCAGCTTCTTGCAGCACACACAGCGACGGGCGCCGCGGGTGGGGCTGCTCCGGAGGCTGATGGGGAGAGATGGACGGTGGAGCAAGGGGAGCCCCGGGGCATGGGAACGGGAGAAGAGGAGGGATTGTTGAGACGCCTCAGAGATTTGTTGCTGGTGTCGTTGGCCCATGGGTTGGTTGGAGAACACGGCTTCGTGCTGCACACACAGCGACGAGCGCCGCGGGTGGGGCTGCTCCAGGGGCTGGTGGGGAGGGAATGACGGTGGGAAAGCAGGGAGGCCGGGAGTGGGGAAGGGAGAAGGGGAGGGACTTTTGAGACGTCAAAAAAATCACATTCACGCCCATATCCTACTCCTTCATATTCCTCTCACCTTCACGCCCATATCCGGGAAGCTCCTTGCCTTCTTCATCCCCCTGTCATCCTCCCCTACACTCCCATCCCCTCCCCCACCACTTCTTTCTCTGCCATTCCCCCCGCCATCCCCCCGTCATTCCCCCCACCATCTTCCCCGTCCTCCTGCATGGCAGCTGCGGCCATCATGAGTTCTTCAAATCCCTCTATCTTCTTCCCACTACGCCCCTTCTGAGTAGACCTAAAAGCCCCACCATCCTCCCCTCCCCCATCTTCCCCATCCCCCTGCATGGCAGCTGCAGCCATCATGAGTTCTTCAAATCCCTCTATCTTTTTCCCACTACGCCCCTTCTCCCCGCTCCCATCCACTCCTCCCCTACCCTCCACTCCTCCCTTCCTCCCTGCTCCTCTCTCCTTCTCGCTTCCTCCCCTACCCTCTCCTCCTCTCCTACCCTCTACTCCTCTCCTACCCTCCGCTCCATCCTTTCTCTCAGCTCCTTTCTCGCTTCCCTCCCGCACTCGCCCTTTCTCGTGCCCTATCTTGCGCACATGTGAGCGCCCATGTGACCGCCCATGCGCCCACTGCTTCCGCCATCCGCCCACACCTCCCTCCGCCTCACCCATTGCCAGGCCAACAGGAAACTCAGCCGACTGGCTTTGACTCTTCAGCCCCCCGATCTGCTTCAATGCCCCCTGCTGCCCCCCTGTCTGCCTCAAATCCTCCGGAACAACAGGCAAGGCGGGAGTCCCAAAATTCACTCCCCCCACGCCCCCCGCGGCCCCCACGCCCCCCGCGCCCCGCATCTCTCTCCGCAGCTGCCTCTCCCGCTCAGCACGGAAGAACATGCCTGCTCTTACCACGTCCCTACCCTGCTGCTGCGCCATCGCGCGCGCCATCACTCCCCCCAGGAACCCCCCCGCTGCCAACCCCCCCTGGCTGCTAATCCCTCCCCTGCTAACCCCCCCGCTGCCAACGCACCCCTCTCTGCCGCGCCGTCACGCACAGCACCGCTTCGACCCTCCTTCACGGCTTCCCTTTTCCCACTCACTCTCAAATCACTGCTCCCAGCACTGCCCACCACACCCTCCCGAGGCCGCCAACCGCGCTCCTCTCTTACAGCAGAAGGATTGAGCACGACTGAAGCAGCCGTTTCTGCCTTGCTGCTGTGCACACCGGCCTCAAACCCCCCTCCGTCTCCTCCTCCTCCTCCATCTCCTCCTGCTCCTGCTGCTCCTCCTGCTGCTCCTCCTGCTGCTCCTCCTGCTGCTCCTTCTCCTCCTCCCCCTTCCAGCTCAGCCTCCCAGTCGGAGAAATCGATTCGGTCCAGGCTGCTGCTCCTGCTGAGGCCCTTTTGCCGGTTCCTCTGCGCACGAGAAACACCAGCACTGGCACCGTCCGCTCCCCCCACACCAGCAGCAGCACTAGCAATAGCAGCGGCAGTTGGAACAACAGCAGCAGCACTAGGAGCAGCAGCGGCACCAATAGGAAGCCCCACTTCTCTGTTCTTTTCACCTGAAGGGCCACCTGAGCCCAGGTGTTCCGAATCTCCCTGGAAAGACGGGAATCTGATGAGAGCGCTGGGGACGGCTGAGACTTCATGACGCGAAGACTCCAAGGGTGCAATGACGGCGCCTGTGGTAGCCTTGCTGATAGTCGCAGCAGCAGCAGCAGGGGTTCCTGGGGCGTCTGAAACGGTGGGAAGCGTAGAGCCGAGGGGAGCGACGGCTGGGCCTGCAGGGGCTGCAGCAACCGCGCCTAGAGTGAAGCTGCCGCTGCTGCTAGTGCTGCTGCTGCTGCTGCTGGTGCTGCTGCTGCTGCTGCTGCGTGGGTGGTCGGCGTTGTGAGTGTAGCGGCGTTGGAGCGGTGGTGGGGCGAGGGTAGGCTGGCGCACCTGCAGCAGCTGCTGCTGCAGGCGCGGCAGCGGCTGTCGCTCCTTGAGGCTCCGCTGCTTTTCCTCCTCGTGCCAGGGGTAGCGCGTCAGCTCGTATGAGACGGAGGCGGCGGGGGAGGCGGCGGAAGAGGCGGAGGAGGAGGAGGAGGAGGAGGAGGAGGAGGAGGAGGAGGAGGAGGAGGAGGAGGAGGAGGAGGAGGAGGAGGAGGAGGAGGAGGAGGAGGGAGGGGAGGAAGAGGAGGAAGGGAAGGAAGAAGAGGACGAAGCAGATGGTCCTGACAGTGCGGAGGAGGGAGCAGACGCAATTGCACCGGATGAGTAGGAGGCTGCTAGCGGGAAAGACTGGGGCGGGAGAGAGTGTGGCGGGAAAAGCAGAGCAGCTCTTTGTGAACTACGAATGTTGTTAATGTTGCCACTGCTGCTGCTGCTGCTGGTGCTGCTGATGCTGCTTCTGCTGGTGCTACTGGTGCTGCTACTGCTACGACTGTTCCTGCTGGCGCTACTGCCGCCGCTACTCATACTCCACCTGCTACTCTCCCCCACGCTCGCCCCATCGTCCGTGCTAAAGCTGCATCGCTGCACACCCGTAGCATCCCCCCCAAACTCCCCCCCAGTCTCCCCCCCATTCTCCCACCCGTCTGCGCTGGGTCCGTTCTCGTCTATCTCCGTCAGAGAGCTGTTTCGCGACAGGCTATAAAAAGAGTCGATTGTAGCGAGCTTGCAGTTTGGAGGCAGGCTGCTGCCGAACGTCGCAGGAAGGCTGATATCAGCGGAGGAGGGGTAGGCGAGGTGCTGCGGAAGCGTATAGGCGTCTGCAGTAGCAGCTGCTGCTGCAGCGGCGGCGACGGCGGCGGGTGTTGCGTAGAGGCGGGAGGCGGGGAACCAGCGAGCCGCGGCACAGAGGCCGTCTGCTCGAGACGCGCTGCGCTCCACGTGGCCGATTACCATTGCCTGGGAGAATGACGGGGATACGAAAAAGGAGACGGAGAGTATGGAAGAAGCAAGGGAATGGTGTAGAAATTGGGACCAGCTAATGAGCACAATTTCGGTGAGTACGCAATCACCTTCGTTTGACACATTGTACCCTCATTCGACACGAATTGCCCATAATAGACTCGATCGGTATAGTTCGCCTCGAAAACGGCTACAGTCCACGATCTCTCCTTCAAATTTCTCCTTCGATTTTCTCCAATACTTTCAAGATTAATTCGCTCACCCCAATCTTCTCATCTTCGAACTTCTAATCCTACGGGTCCTTTCACCTTTGCGACTCTCACCTTGCCCATCGCCATGGCTCGCTGCAGGAGGGGCTTCAACAGGTCTCTCCAGATCCGGTCCTCCTTCGCCGAGTCCTCATCGCCACGGCATTTCTCGCCCAGAATAGCACGTGAAGCTTCGGAGGGGTTCCGGACATTCGAATAAGTCACGACCGATACCAGAACGATAATAACGCCAGCATCGTCCTTTGGTTTGGATGCTGGAGCGGACGGGTAGCTTGGGTGCTGATGGCGATGCTGCTGCTGATACTGAAGCTGATGCTGCTGCTGGATCTGAGAGGACGAGGCAGAGGCTAACGTCAGCACTTGCTGAAGGAACGACCAGGAGGCTTCTAAGGAGTCCTTGAGAGCGGAATCGCCGGAAACCCATGATCCTGGCACTTCCACGAGCCACATTGTCGGCGAATCAACGATGGAGCCTTGATTTCTTTGATTTCCCGGCCAATCGCTTGCAGATGTGGAGTAAGGATTTGAAATAATATGTTCGACGACTCAATGAAACCTCGTTGAAATAAATAAAAAATGAGTACAGTAAGATCTGAGGTAGAAATCTCGGGCGGCTACGCGTACGCTATGTTTCAGATGTGACCTAAAGTGACAATCGCCCTAAAAAAACCCAAACGGGTAAAGGCAAGGGTTGACATCTTCAACGGAATTTTATGTTTCAAGCTGTTACAAAGCAGGCACGACTCATGGCTCTAAAGCGGGCAAAATCCATGGCTCTAAAAGTGGGACGGAATTACGCAGTCCACGACAGGCTCGCACGGTAACCTAGGGAAAGCAAACATAAGAGGGTTTCGGACTAGGCAAAAAGAGACATTCGGCCACACAGACGCCTTATTCAGCTCACATTATTCCTTAACGTCCCTTCAACAACGCGAAGCAGAAGTCTCTACACGTGACTTTGCCTGATAAGACGTTCGTGCGGAAAATACAGGAATGGGACGGGACAGGAGCCATGTCCACAACCATGCCATGACTCAAATCGCCGAACGACGACGAATCGTATCGTAGGCTAAAAGAAAGCCACACTTGGCAGGGAACGAGAACTAGAGACCCGGCATGGTTCGGAGAGCGGACAAGCAAACAAAGTTGCGGAGAAGCCCAGCCAAGCAAACCGAACCAAAGTCCGAGGCTGTACGGGGCCACAGAGGATGCTAGAGCCAATGCCAACCAGCGCCAAACCTGCTCCAAAGCTGCCAGAGAGGGCCTGCAAGGAAGGTGGGTGTGGGGTGCGTAGAGGTTGGCACGAGAAACAAGCGGAGAAAAACGAGCGGCTGGCTAGAAGAGAGGAGCATTTCCACCTTGGGGATAGATTCCTGCTTGTTCTGCAATCTCTTTTGAAATCTGGGGTTCCCTTTCCACATCGTTCAATACCCAACTCAAACATTTAAGATGCTAAATAAGCCGCTGAGAAACGTAAAGAATCCTATTGAGCCGCATTCCGACGAACTCGTGGGAGATACGGGATCTTTGCCTAATGTAATTCTTGGATTGGGGGGAGCTCCATCCCATGCCCGTAGCGAAGACATTCCTGGTGGAGTCCGATGATTGCGCGGGGCCATATCATTCCCCGCCCGTCTTTACGTGGCGGCCAGCAACCCCCTGGGCATGGAAGAAAAAACGTTCATAGCTCCTGCTTCACTCTTCAGGCTGGTGAGTATTGGTACAGAACGGTCAAGCTGAAGAAACCGCTCTGTACAGTATACATAACATCGTCGTGGTGCAGCGTGTAGAAACTCTCAACCGCGTGTACTATTTTTGGCCCGCCCTAAAACTTCAACAAGAAGCCCCAGCGGTTTCCATCACAGATGGTCCATTTATGCAGTCAAGGTCCACTGTTCTGGCCCAGCCAATGGATGACCTTGGGCACACGGATGGGAAGGCCGAAACTGGGGGGCAGAACGACGCTGGGGGGCAAGCATTCCGCGGACGATTTTGGTGTCTGTCCGCCCAACCGCACGTTCAAGTCGGAGACCCCCAACCGTGAAAACTGGTGGGTTCGAACCCACCAGGGCCCGGATGGACTGGAGATTGTACCCTCCGCGTGGACGACAATGTATGGGTAGACGCTCCTAAAAGCTTGGAAGTTTCGCGGTGCCCACGACAAGGGTTCTTGGCTGAGATTGCATCTCCAAAACCAAAGACGGCCACGACCTGATTCAGGTATTTGGTGAGAGATTAGACTGTGTTGTATACAGTTTATATTTTCCAGATGTACGTGCAAAGGTTGTAGGCATGAAAATAGAAACTCTTGTACTTTAATGGCTATGCCTAGCCTCGCCGATACCACCCTAATAAAAACACCTTCATCTTGTTTAGGGTTTTGGACAGGATGGAGGGGGAATCAAGGATGGATGGAGAAGGGAGGTAGATGGGGAAAGGGAGGATGGAGGGGGAAGGGGGGATGGGGGGACAAAGGGGAATGGAGGGACATGGGAGGATGGAGGGAAAAGGGAGGACGAGAGGGAGTGCAGGATGGAGGGAGGAGGAAGAATGGAGGGAGAAGGAAGGATGGAGAGAGAAGGAAGGATGGAGGAAGAAGGATGGAGGGAGAATGAAGGATGCAGGGAGAAGGAAGGATGGAGGGAGAAGGGAGGATGGAGGGAGAAGGGAGAGTGTCAGACGCATGATGAAGGCCAAAGTCATTGGTGGAAACACCAGCAGGAAGCTAATGATGACACTGTGGAGATTACTATTTACAGAGTTCAGGACAAATTCCAGTCATGTGGTTCTTGAATCGCATCTGAATCCCCACTTCTCACCCCTGTTTGGTCCCACGCCACTACTCGCCCTCACCGACACCTGCTCCTTTCCCCTTCTCATGGGATTCTCTCCTGCTGGGTCACAAGCTGACAAAATTGGTACCTCTGCTGCTGCTGCTGCTGCCCCTCCTGCTGCGGCCTACCTTCCTCCCTTTCCTCCTCTTCCCCCCCCCACAGCATCTTGTTGTGTGAAAGTTTACAAACCTCCCTCCACCACCCCCATGCGGCAACTCAAATCAAACAGGACTTGCGCCATGAATCCAACTCGTCCCTCCATCCAATCCACTCGTCCCTCCGTCCACTCCACTCGTCCCTCCGTCCACTCCACTCGTCCCTCCGTCCACTCCACTCGTCCCTCCGTCCACTCCACTCGTCCCTCCGTCCACTCCACTCGTCCCTCCGTCCACTCCACTCGTCCCTCCGTCCACCCCACTCGTCCCTCCGTCCACTCCACTCGTCCCTCCGTCCACTCCACTCGTCCCTCCGTCCACTCCACTCGTCCCTCCGTCCACTCCACTCGTCCCTCGGTCCACTCCACTCGTCCCTCCGTCCACTCCACTCGTCCCTCCGTCCACTCCACTCGTCCCTCCGTCCACTCCACTCGTCCCTCCGTCCACTCCACTCGTTCCCCCCCTCCATCTGCTTGTGTTCAAGTCATTGATCTCCCTCCACCACCCCAACGCCGCTACTCAAACTGCACATGCGCCATGACTCCACTCGTTCTTCTCCCTCCATCCCCGCCACTCGTCCAACCCCCTCCTTTCCCTCCGCTCGTCTCTCCCCTCCCCCTTCTCCCCTTTCCGCCTCCCCAAACAGCGTTTCAACCTTCGCAGCAACAGCTTCCGCTTCTTCGTCTACTACCGACTCACAGCCGCGGCTCGAGCTCGCCATGCTCCACGACTGCGCAATTTCGCCAGCATCCGCGTCACGCGGACGTTCTACCGAGTCGCGGTCGCGGCCTGAGCTCTCAACGCTCCACGACTGCGCGATTTCGCCGAAATAATCCACCAAGTCCGAAGTCAGCTCCTCGTGATACGACGCGGCCCTCTGCCCTCCGTTTCGCCACTTAGACACTTCGCCATCCGTTTCGCCGTGATTGCGTTTCGTCATGTCGCTAGCCCCCTCCGAGTCGCCCGAACGCCCCGGCAGCGGTGGCGCTCTGAGCACGTCGGCTATTTCCCGCGGGCCAGCCGCTCCCTGCCGCCTCTCAGCTCCGCTGCTGCTGAGACTCCGCTTGATGTGCGACGGCTGCTGCGACGACTCCTGCGACGACTGTTGCGGCTGCCGCTGCTTGTCCTCCTCTCGTCGCGCAAGCGGAACAACTGTCGCAGGCTCCGCTGCGGATCCACTGAAGCTTCTCCGCCGCCTCGCCGCTTCTCCCGCCCGTCCGCGCTGCCGCGGGGGGAACTTCGGAATAGCGCCGGCCGCGGAACCCGCCGTCACTCTGTCGCGCGTGCGATTCGGCTGCGCGGAAGCGCCCTCGAGTCCTTCGAGAGCCACGCCGTTTCCCGCTGCGACGGCGAGCGCAGCATCCCGGCCGCTGCCGCGGTTGGAGAAAATGCGCAACTTGCGGATCGCCGTCGCGGCGGGGCGTCGGTTGATAATCGACGGCCTCGCGGCCGCGGAAGCGTCGCTTCCATCAGCGGAGAGAGGCTGCGGCTCGGCGGAGTCCGATGCTTCTCCCTCCCACGACGGCGCCGCCGGGACCCTCCCGGTCGCGGCGCGACGGTCGCTGCTCGCGTCGGCGCTCCCTGGCGGCGGCTTTTCGTCTCCCGGCGCGCCGCGGAGCGAGGAAAAGTCGGAGGACTTATTTCGCGCGCGTCGGATAATCATACGATTTTTCCGCGGCCGGCGCGCTGCGCCGCTGGTTTCGTCGGAAGCTTCCTCCGCCCATAGCTCCTCCATGTCGACCGACGCGGTCGCCCTGTGGCGCACGACGGGCGCGAGCGGGCTGCGCACCGCCGCCAGCGCGGCGGGGCGCCACGCGGGGCTTCCGCCACCGCCGCCGCCGCCGCACGGGGAATGTAGCGCGGAGGCGGAAGCGCATCCCAAGGGGGACAGCACCGCCGGCGGGTGCTCGCCGTGTTTCCGCCTGCCGGCCGCGACAGCGTCCGCCCATGATCCTTCCGCAGATTGGGGGGAAGTGCTAGGGGAAAATCTCCTCACGCGATTCTGCGCCCTTGGGCTTAGCGCGAGGGCGGCTGCGGTGTTCAAAGCGCGCTCGCGGTCTAGCGAGCGGGTTTCGCCAGGGCATTGGGCTCGCACGCATCGGCGAGCGCGGTTTGCGGGGGAGTTGGCGAGTGGCCAGTCTACTTCTGGAGAGAAATCGGACGGTGAGAGTACTGGAGTGTGAACAATCGCAGTTTGAGAGGCCATGGGGAAGGGTTTCAGCAGATGGTGGTAAATGGTCGAAGGTTGCTGGTTCTCTTTTGCAATGAATAAACGGCATCGCGTGTGAGTCGCCAGGCAATGTGTGTGTTTGTGCGTGGTTTTTAGAAGAGTATTCGAAACTAGTCCCAGGCAGCTGTTTGTTATGCGGTGTAATACGGTAATGCGGTGTTGGACTCCCAGACCCAGGAGCAACGGCTGGAACCAGTCCCCCCCAGCCAGTTTCCGCAGCGCTTTTGGCAACGAACGCGAATTACACTAGCACTCAACATACAGCAGTGCGAAAATGTTGAGCGAGTCCCTGAAAGGGTTACACACGGGTCATCCATGTGGACGTGTGCATATGCGAAAGTCTTTTCTCTCTGGCGAAGTTCGATGAACAGAAGTAACGACTTCCACACGTATTCCGCACAGTGCACAGCGCGACAACGAATCGGTACAATACAAAATCAAATGGGTGATTGGGTGTGTGTGCGCTTGCTTGCGCCCCACCCCGGCCCGCTTGACACCAAATTGCTCCCAGCGCACACTACAGCTGGGGTAGGCTCACAGCCACTTATTTTCCTGGCGTTTTCGAACGAGCACAGCACAGCGCGGCTTGCGGTTGGTTGATCATCGGGAATTCCCCTGGCTGACGTTGCCTCTCCGAAGCTGGACTGGTGGTCACTGGGACCAGCCATTGCTGTACTGTACACGCAGGCACAGACCATGCTCGTTGTACAGCTTTTCAATTTACTGTACAGTCACATGCTTTTTCAGTGCAACGTGAATGTAAATGACTGTTTTGGACTCAATATACAACGTTCACGTGATGATTACAATATGGTATTCAACTACAGCATTGGCTTTATTCAGGTACTATGATTCTTGAACAGCATTAAAAAAAAAAAAACTTTGAACTCCTGCTTTTCCCACCCCGTCACAAAAAGACAGGACTTGTAGCTCTGCTACTGCAGCCCCTCCTCGTAGCTTCCTCCCTTTCCTCCACTTCCTCCCAACATCTGCTCGCTTGTGTACAAGTCATTGATCTCCTTCCAAAACCCCCACGCCACTACTTAAACTACACATGCGCCATGACTCCCCTTGTTGTCCCTGTTCCTCCATCCCATCCAATCGTCCTTCCCTTTCCATTCCCTCCATACGTCCTTCCCCCTCTATTCGCTCCGCTCGTTTCTTCCATCCCGCTTCTCCCTTTTCCGCCTCTATTGAGTCACAGCCACGGCCTGAGCTCGCTACATTCCAAGCCTGCGCAATATCGCCAAAATAATCCACCAATTCCAAATCCATTGCCTCGAGATACGACGCCGCGGGCCTCTCCCCAAGGGTCGTTTCGCCAGCCTCGTTCAAACTCCCACGGAACAGGTCGACTCGAAACAGTATCTCCTGCCCTGCCAATTCCATCGTGTGCTGCCCTCCAATATCAGTGCTACTACGACTTCGCATGTGCGACGGCTTTGACGCATTCTGCAACTGCTTCTGTGGCGGCTGCTGCGGCGGCACTTTCTTGTCCTCCTCCTGTCGCACAAACGGAACCACCGTCGCAGGCTCGCCGCAACTCCCGCCAATCCCCGCTGCACGAACGAACGGAACAACCTTTGCAGGCTCCGCGCCTTTGCCGCTGAAGCTTCTGCGCCTCTAAGAAACTCCCGTCGGTCCCCGCCACAGCGAAGGGGACTTCGGAATCGCGGAAGCAGGTGTCGCTGCCGCAGGAGAAACCACAACTGCTGAAGGGGAAGATGCGGCGCCGCAATCATCCCGCCTGCGGTTGGAGAAAATCCGCAGCTTCAAGTTGCGAATCGCCGCCGCTGCAGCGGGGCGGTTCATTGTCGACGCCGGCCTCGCGCCGGCCGCGGTGGCGCCGCCGCTCTCCTGCTGCTGCGGCGGCTCGGCGGAGACCGGCGGAGCTTCTCCGTCCCACGGCGGAGGGCGGGGGCTCCAGCCAATCACGCGGCATTCAAAGGCGGAGTCGGCGCCGCCTCTCCCCGCTGCCGCCGACTTCTCTTCTCCCAGCGCGCCGCGGAGCGAGCTGAAGTCGGAAAACGACAAGTTTCGCGCGCGTCCTCGGACGATACGATTTTTGCGGGTGCGCCGCGCCGTCGCGCCGCTTGCTTCGTCGGAGATCGCCTCCGCCCATAGCTGCTCCATGTCGACCGCGGTTGTGGGCGGCGCGGCGTTGTAGCGCGCGGACCCGCCGAGCGGACTGCCGCGCACCGCCGTCAGGGCGGCGGGGCGCCACGGGTTTTCGCTGGGCGGGGAGAGAAGCGCGGAGGCGGAACCGGATCTCAAAGGGGACAGCGCCGGGTCGCCGTGTTTCCGCCTTCCAGCTGCGACAGCTTCCGCCCATGATCCTTCCGCGGATTGGGGGGAAGTACTGGAAGTATATCTCCTCACGGCGCGAGTCCGACGTGGGCTTAGCCCGAGAGAGGCTGTGGTGCTCAAGATACGCTCGCGATCGAATGAGCGGGATTCGCCGGGCGATTGAGTTTGTGAACAGCTAGAGCGCAATGCAGGGAGGGCGGCGAGTGGCCAATCCAATTTGGGAGGTAGATCGGAAGGTGAGAGCTCTGGGCTGTGAGCAACCTCGGCTTTGGAGCCCATGGGGAAGGGCTTTAGCTAACAGCTGGGGAGGATGGTGATAGCTGGTTTCCTTGAATAAGAAATGATAGCTAGTGATGCAGATAGGATAGGTGGGCAAAGACAGACGTCGGTGGGGCTGTGTGTTTGTAGCGATGCGGTGGGGGGATCCCCAGCACAATTAGTGCAATCTGCGGTCGACTTCGTTTAGTCACGGTGGGAAGCGGTACGCTTTGGGAAGTGCTTTCGACCGTGTGGAACCGTCCTGAACCACGATTTAAGAACAGTATGTGTGACAAATGTGCAACCTGACATCCATTGAACCCCGATTTCAGTTTCACTGCCACAGCAGCCGAAATCGCCCTTCGATGTGTACGACTTTCTCCATTTGTTTCGTAGGGACGGAAGAAGCTTGTCTCGAAAACGTCGAACAAATGTGCGCATGTGTCATATTTCTGGTCCCGGGTGTGAAATGCCATCTCCTCCAGCCCACTCAAATCTCCTGCTTCGATTGCCTTTTCCCCCCCAACGAAGTTCAACGAAGGAATCAGAAGCAAACGACCAACATGCACTCCGCACAGTAGTCACAACAGACAGGATCAGTGCAAAATCGAATGGCCTGCCCAATCCTATTTCCGCATTCGAGCAGCGAATATGTACACCTGGATCCTATTTCACACCCACAGCGTTCACAATGCAATACGGTGCGGGTTCACACCGCACAAAAGTTAGTCAGAAATTAGTATTTCCCTGCTGCCCGCGTCCACTGTCAGGTCGTAAGTGTAGCTTTCGCAACAGTTGGTGCCCACAAAAAAAAGTCCATTGCTGGTCACTGCGCAATGACAGACAGAGCCACGTCACCTCGGCGGTTTAGCACTGTACGTGTCTTGAACTGTAGCCGGATCTGGTGACACGGCGGGCGTCCGATCATCCGAGGCGTGAGTGCGGTATAGTGCTGTGCGGTGCGAGTGTGAGTGCGGTGCAGAGGTGTGCGAAGTGCACATCCCTCGACTCGATAAAATCCATCAGCCGACCCTTCATGATTCCATGCTCACGCGTGCAACCAAATGCAGCGGTGGCGTGTAAATCTGGCAACGAAACCGACGACGAGGTCCGATTCGCCATGACGTGTTCAGGGGGCTCGTTTGTCGACATACAACGACGGATCGTCTGTCGATTCTAGGGGGAAGATCATGCACCGCTGATTTGAATTGCTCGACTTAATCTACACTACACTAATATATGGACAAGACTTCAGTTTTTTTTCTTGCTTGAACACTTTCTTGAAATGGATCATTTTCAGATTGCCTGATTCCCATCCAGGGATTTTAACACTCGCAAAGGCCAAACACTACTCAAAACATAATATGTATCGGCCATAGATGAATGCTTCCAGCTTACCCTTGGACCCTCCACCGAACACCCCAACTATTGGCAAGCGCAGCACTTTCAGCCAGTCTACCTTGCCTTGAAATTTGAGCTGACTTCTCAGTCGACTCAAAACTATTTCGCATACCAGCCATCGATCGAGTACCCCTCTTACCGTAGCTCATCCCTTGGAGCCTCCACACAGCAACAGCTCTCGGCACGTGCAGCACCTTCAACCACTCCTGCCTTGCCTTGGAAATCACGCACTGAGCCGATGCAAAACAAATATCGTATCGGCCCTTCATCCAGTGCTCCCAGCTCACCCCTTAGAGCCTCCACCCAGCGCACCAGCCCTGGGCACGTGCAGCACCTTCAACCAGTCCTGCCTTGCCTTGAACTCCACCTGCCATTTGAGTCAACTCAAAACATCTATAGCATTGGCCCTCCATCCAGCAATCCCAGCTCAACCCTTCGAGCCTCCACCCAGCACACCAGCTCTCGGCACGCGCAGCGCTTTCAGCCAGTTCTGCCTCGCCTTGAAACCCCCCTGCCCAGCATCCGCTGCAGAAGCAGACCGAGGCACTTGCCCCGGCAGACCCGAACCTGCCTCCGAGGCTACCCCAAGATCCGTACCACGACTGTGACGTGGCTCTTGAGTCGAGTCTGCGGCGCTCTCCCGAGCCTCCGTGCCAGGCTTGGAAGGGCTGGAGAGGAGCGGAGAGAGCAGGTGCTTGAAGCGAGAGCGAGACATGGTCCGGGTAAGTGAGGAGATGAGCGGACCGGAACTTAATTTACTGGGGGCCTTTTGAGTTGAGTCAACAGACACGTCGCGAGACAAGGTTCGGGACAGGGAGGAGAAGAGCGGACCAGAAGTGAATTTGCGGGGGTGCTTTTGACTCGACTCAATAGACACTTCTCGAGACAGGGTCCGGGAAAGGGAGAAGAGCGGACCAGAACTGAACTTGCGGGGGCTGTGAGAAGAAGGAGAAGGAAGGGTGGATGAGTGCGGGAAGGTGGGGGGGAGGGAGGCGTTGTGGGGGAGGGAGGCATTGGGGGGAAGGGAGGTGGTGGGGGAGAAAGTGGATGCAGCAGGGCCGAAGGAAGGACGGGGAGAAACGGATAGGAAGGGCAGGCCGGAAGGCGAGATAGGGTCTGAGTCAGAATCGTCGTTTGAGTTTGGGGAGTCTGTAGTCTCGTCTCTGGATGCAGCAGCTTCCTCGATTGGGGCGGTGGCACGCGTGGGTTTAGAAGCATGCTGAGTCAGTTGGAACTTATGGGACTGATGGGTCTGCAAATCACCAGAGCACAAATCTTGAGGTGACTGTTCCAAAAATGCAGCTTTCTGTCTGAAGCCAACCTGTTCCCCTTCTGCATGCTCCCTCCCTGCATGCCCTTCCTCCGCGTGCTCCCCTGCTGCATGCTTCTCGTCGCTTATCACTATCATTTTAACCTCCTCTTCCTGCTCAGAACCTGAGGCTCTCGGATTAGCTAGGTCCTGAGGGATCAAGCTTGCTGCATCAGGAGAAGCGGCATTAGCATCAGTTGCGGCAGCGGCAGCAGCAGCAGCAGCAGCAGTAGAGGTAAGCGCAACACCGCCACTATCAGCCTCACCAGCATGTACCGTTGTCACCATGCAAGCACCACGGTCAGCAGTATCAACAGTATTACCAGCATCAGCATCAGCAGCAGCAGTCATAGGCGCCTTGTCAACCCAGTTAGCAGGCACCATGTCAGCAGTGCTACTAGCATCAGCCCTCGCCACCACGCCAGAGGCACCAGCACCACCACAATCATTCCAAGCCTCGGCAGCAGGTCCGGCACAAGCCTCGCGAATTCGTTCGGCAAACGAACCAGCAGAGTCGGTGCTGTCAGATGGAACTAGAACCCTCCTCACCTGCACCATTCGGTTGAACTGCACGCGCCGATCCGCCCTCTGCTGCTTCACCCCATTGCCTGCTGCTCCTGGTGGTGACTGTTGGCTGGTTGGGGATTCTGCGGTGGCTTGGTGATCGTCGGATGGCTCTGGATCCAACGGCTGTGATGATTGTAGGCGCAGGGATGGCGACCGGTTACGGTTCCAAGCTGCTGCTTCTGCTGATTCTTCTGCTAATTCTTCCGCCTCAGTTGCTTCTTCTTTCTCTGCTGCTGCTGATTCACACGACGAGGGATGGGAGGGGGAGACAGCAGAGCAGGGAGGGATGGATCTAGAGCATTAGGTGGTATTCTTGTGGCATGAGGTGGTATTCTTGTGGCATGAGGTGGTATTCTCGTGCTGCTGCTGATTCAAGGACTGAGGGGAGGGGCAGACGTGAGAGAAGGGAGGGATAGATATCGTGTACGAGGAGGTAATAGTGCTGATGCTGCTACGGCTACCACCTGTGCTTGTTCTGGTGGTGCTGCCACTTGTGCTTGTGCTACTTGTCTTAGTGATACTGATGTTTTTTTTTTTTTTTTTTTACGTACCTGAAAAGGCAAAGTCGCTTGTATGATTGGCCGCAGCAGAAGTAGCAGCAACAGCACTGGCAGCAGCAGCGGCAACACCATCAGCAGCAGCAGCAGCACCATTCGTGTCCAACAACCCAATGCCGTTGCTTAACCTGCTTGTACGCCAAAACATCTCCTCGCTTCCCTCCTTCCTCCCCTCCTCACACCTATTCTCTGCCCTCTCCTTTCGTCTCTCCACTCTTCCATCCTCTGTCCTCCCCCTTCGCCCCTCCTCTCTCCCTTTCTCTCCTCCTTCCTCCCGTACCTCCCCGCCTGTTCTTCCCCTGACCCTCTTCCCACCCCCCACTCCCCCTCCTTCCCATTCATTACCTGTTACAGCAACAGCAGCAGCCGCTTCTTCTAAAGCCCTCATAGTGCTACCCTCACCATGGCTGACGGCCATTTCCCGGAAGGATCCCACCAACGCGACAGGCGCTACCCCTTCATAACATTCGTTACCTTCATAATTACCCCTCACAGGCAGCGCAACAGCAGCCGCCTCGGCCTCCAACGCCCCCATACTACCCCCACCATTCCCCATGCTGCCGGCCATTTCACGGAACGATCCCACCAATGCGACTCCTTCCCCTACATTACCTTCATTATTACCCCTCACAGGCAGCGCAACAGCAGCCGCCTCTGCCTCCAGAGCCCTCATTCTACCCTCACCACAGCTGCTGCTGCTAGCAGCAGAATCTAGAAGGCGCGGATTCGCCATTTCCCGGAAGGATCCCACCAGCGCGTCTGGCGCTTCCCCTTCCGCAAACCCAAGATCCCATGATCCTTCTGCTTCCAAATCAACCTTTTCCGCCTCCCTCACCCGCGCCCCCGCCACTCCCCCTTCCAGAATCCCAACATCCCATGATCCTTCCGCCTCCCCCGCACCATGTTCTTGCGCCTCCCGCGAAGCGTCCGCGCCAGCAGCGCTAGTGCTAGCGCTTTTACGAAAGAGGTGGGGTGTGGGGATTGCTTGGGTGCTACTATTACTATCACTCAGCCTCCGGGACTTGGCAGTATCTTTGCTGTTTCTGCCAACAACGACAGTATTACTATTAATAGCAGCAGTACTACTATTAGTACTAGCACCGCCGTAGCTCCGTCTCCTGGCGTGCTTTGAGTAAGTGGTTTCAGCTTCGAATTCCCTCAACTCGAATTGACTCAACTGAGACTGCAATTCCTCCTCTTCCTCAGTAGTCTCAGACTGCTGCTGCTGTGCTTTCTGCCCACCGCTTCTTCTCCTGCTGACGGGTTGTGGGTTAGTAGTACTATTAATGGGGGTGGTTTCAGCTTCTACCTCGAATTGACTCAACTGAAATTGCCACTCCATCTCCTGCTGCCGCGCTTGCTGCCCTCCGCCTCCCCAGCTGCGGCACCTCCTGTGTGACGCCCGTTGCGGCACCTGCTGCTCCTGCTCCTGCTGCTGCTGCTGCTGCTGCCGGGAGTGCCGCGGGTTATCCGCGAGTGTCTTCGCTCGGCGAACAACTATCACGGACTCATCGCCGCTGGAGCTTTTTTTTGGCGGCAGCGGCGGAACGCGGCCGCCGCCATCCCACTGTTCCCCCCCGCCGCGAGGCGAGCGCGGAAGATTGGGCGGAACGGCGGACCCCCTGTCGCTCGCATTGCTCTTTCCGCCGCGGCCGCCGCCGCCGCCGCAGCCGGCTAATGACGGCATGATTCGTCCAGACGACCACGCGCTGCCACGGCTTTCCGCTGAACCGGACCGCGGCGCCGCGGCGCCGCCATCGTCCGACATCCGTCGCGACGGCGGTCCGAGGGGATCTGCCGCGCCGCGGCGGTTGGAGAAAATGCGCGTGAGTGTTGCGAGGCGGCCGGGAGACTGCGGCGCGATCGGCTGCGGCGCGGTCTTCGCAAGTGACGAGTCCGAGTCGGAGTCATACGTTGCGGCCGGCAGTCCGGCCGGCAGTGCCGCAACCAGACCGTCAAGTTGCCATGATTGAAAGTAGCTAGTAGTTTCCGCCGAGTTGGCGGGAGCATCACTGATGATTACATCTCCAGCGGCGAGTTTATCAACGCTGTTAGAATTACCGACCTTGGTGGCTCCCATCGCGCTTCGGAACGAGCGGAAGTCGGAGAAGGAGATGTTTCTCGAGTGTCCGCCACGGCCGCCCTTCCGCCGCCGGCCGCTGGGAGTGACGGGCGACTCGGGCGGCGGAGCGCACTCCTCGAAACTTACCTCCGCCCAAAGCTCCTCCATATCGATAGACGCGGTCGCTTTATGGCGAACGACCGTCGCGTGCGGGCTGCGCACGGGGGTCATCGCGGCCGGGCGCCATGCGTCTTCCGCCGAAATCGCGGCGTTTTCGCCGGCGGAATAGGACTTCGACGAGGGAAACGCGCGGTCACCGCGGTAGGCGTCATTCCGCCTAACCGCGGCGTATTTTTGGGGGCTGTTCGTAACCGCGGAATCCAAGGTCCGCGCGCGGCGGGTTTCGCCATGAAAATCCCGCGCAGGTGAGCAGCGGATGCGCGGAGGTGGGAGGGTGAGTGGACGACTCAATGGGGGTTCGTCGGGTGATAATTCGCACGGTTCGAATATCGAGGGCGATGTTGGTGAGTGTCTGGGACTTCTCCGTTCTGACGGTGAGCCCATCGGGAGGGAGGCTCGTTGAACGAGGCAGCTGGGGATGAGGAAGTGGCGGAATGCTAGGTTTCAGATCTCGGGCGGTAAGTGTGATGCGTGGACGCTAAATTTAGGGTTGCAGTCGAGTGGCTGTGTCTTGGGACGCTGCGGTGCTGCTGTCTTGCTGTGCGGCTGTGTCGCGTGTTGCTGTGTTTGTGTTGCGGAGTTTGGAGCAGAGGAAGAACGGTAGGGTGGCTTCCTCCTATGTATTTTAGGTAGTTCAATTTACCCCTATTTGAGTTTCAAGGATTTCGAAGGGTAATTTGAGTTTCGAAGGATTTCCTAAAATACATAGGAGGAAGCCTGATGCGACCCACGACACACCATTCGTAGACTCTAGGGTGATCAGGGCTGGCCTTGATGGGATTCATAGCGCCAAAGTTCGTCGCATTCAGGTCAGGGTATTCATGATCAGCTTTGGCCTGGTGGTACTCGAGGCGTGTCTGAAGTGACACGTCGACGGACAGCCTGTAACCTCGCTTCACAAAACAATGTCTGAACTGGGTGTTTCAATTCGAAACCCTGGCTTTCCATTCCATGGTCCCATTTTGCGACGACAAAAACGTTTTTAGTCCTTCCAGTAAGGAATGCCTGATGTCCTTGGAACAAACGATGGTGCCAGGAAGGCCAATTCAATTTACGGAAATCCGATTGAGCCGGTTGGTTGACGACAGAAGCGTGCGGAGAGGGGACAGGCTGGCTGGCTGCCGCAGTCAGGCCATCACACACACCCTCGCCTGCATTGACTATGCTCGTGTCGCATGCCGTAAATGCGTTCAACGATGGTTGGAAAATGATTTTCCCGAAAGGAAAACTTACAAAATTACAGTATTCGTAAGGTTCCTTCCAAACGAATAAATACTACTAATAAATACAGAACGGATGGAAACGAATAAATTACAGCACGGATGGAACAAGAAACAAGGGGTGTGCACTAGATACTAGCTCTAGTCTAGACTGTGCGTATATTAGGTAAATCACTGTGTCAGGCAAACAGAATCGCAGTGAGGCTGAAAGCTCATAGATTCTGTGGTTCATGTTTCTGTAGCTGGAGTTGTCCTGCTCTCACAGTTGAGACGCAACAAAATCGCCAGTGTGGCAAGGTAAACTTGTAATGTGCCGACTCGGTAAGTAACCTTGTTATGAATCAACTCGTTAAGCCTTAGACGCTCCCCTGAATCCACCAACTCTTGGCAAACGCAGCACCCTCGCCCATCGCTGCCTTGCCTTGGATTCCACCTGACCAGCTTCCATCTCAGATACGGACCAAGGCACAAGCCTTGTTTCCATTCGACTTGCTACACCTTATAAGATCCGCTCAATCCACCAACCCTTGGCAAGCGCAGCACCCTCACCCATCGCTGCCTTGCCTTGGATTCCATCTGGCCAGCTTCCATTGCAGATACGGACCGAGGCACAAGCCTCAACATACCCGAACCTGCGTCCGAACCTACTTCCGAGCCTGCTTCTGTCCCGCGAGGAAGGCTATGAAGCAGCGACCTTCGCACCCCCAACTTGTTTGCAAGCATCCCCTCTTTCTCCACCTCAACCCCTTCCCCTCCTGCCACACCCTCCTCTCCCGGTCCCTTCTGATACTCCTTGGAAACAACATCCGCCCTTCGCCTGCTTATCACACCCTCTCTTGCCCCTTCTCCGCTCTCCCCATTCTGATTAGAACGTGCCTCTCTGCTTGAACCTAACTCTCCTGCTGCACCCATCCGCTTGGATGGGCTGAAGAAGAGGGGAGAGGTGAGATTTCTGAGCCGCGAGCGCGAGAAGGAGCGCGTGAGAGAGGAGAGGAACTTGCGACCCGGCGAGGGGGAGGGGAGGGGGCGGAAGAGGAGGAGGAGTGTGGGAGGGCGAGGGGAGGAGAGTCGATCTGTGCGCTGTGGTCGATGAAAATTGTATCGGATAGAACAGGGAGGGACTTGGCTGCAGGGATGAGGGACGTGAGGGGGAATGCAGATGGGAAGGAGATGGAGAGGGGATCCCTGGGCTCTGATTCAGCAGCAGCAGCACGAGCGGCAGCAACAGAAACTGAAACATCCACAGCAGCAGTAGCAGTAGCAGCGGCAGCCGCCATAACAGCAGCAGCAGCATCAACAGAAACGGCAACATCTGCTGTAGCAGCAGCAGCATCGGTGGCAGAGGGAAGTCCAACATCATTGCCAGCAGCACATGGCACTGTGGTACTGCCTGAGGCATCAGCAGCAGTGGTAACAGTAGCACCAGCAGCAGCACATACTACAAGCTTTTCCCTAAATGCCATATCTCCTTCAACAGTCATTTTGTCAGCATCATCAGCATCACCACCATTGGCAGGAACACCATCAGCACAATCAGCAGCAGGGTCGGCAACAGAACCTAAGTCACCATCCGAAACCCCATCACAGCCACCCCAAGCCTCAGCGGCAGGCTCGGAATCAAGCTTGGCATCAAACCCACGATCAGGCTCATCATCGGACTCAACATCGGGCTCGGCATCAGGCCCGGCCGAGTCACTGCTGGGGCAGGCAACGAGCACACGTCTCACCCTCACCACGTCGCTGAATTGCACCCGCCGTCCCCGACTCTTACTGCCCGCAGGTTTCCCTACTTCCGCTGCATCTGCTTCGAATGCCTTTGATTCTCTGTGATTCCCTAATGCTGCGGTCCTGCCAGCAGGTTTCCCTGCTTCTGTTGCATCTGCTCCTGATGGGCTCTCCCCTGTGCCAACCCCTCTCGCAAGGCTGCTAGCCGCAGTGCCCCGCGGGCTGGTTTTGCGGAAGCCGCCGCGAGGACCCGACGACGCGCCGGTCTTCCGCGCGTTCTCTAACGCAGCATCCGCGGCCCGCGCTTCCCCCGCTTCCCCGCCCGCCTCCGCTTCCTCCGCACGTCCTGCGCCGGGCGCCACTGGCGCTCCCGTCTGACCAGCGCCCCTCCCCCGCGGACTCTGTACCACGCGGAAGACGATGCGCGGACCTGAGAGCGCCGCGCTTCCCCCTTCCCCTCCGCCCTCGTCGTCCGACTCCTCCCCCTCCTCCCATGATTCCGCTCCCCCACCCTTCTCCGCCGCTTCCGACTGTTCCGCGCGGCTTGCGACAATACGCGCTTCTTCGTTCAAACGCGACTCGTCGAGCCGTTTGGTCTCCTGCCGGCCGCGGCGGCCGCGTCGCTTTTGCGATGACGACGGCGACTGCTGCGACGACTTCTGCGACGACTCCTGCGATTGCTGCTGCGACGCGCCCTTGACGCGCCGCGTGAAAGGAACGACCATCACAGGTTCTTTCCCGCTCAGACTCTTTCCAGAAGGTCCCGTCGCCGCCGCGCCGGGGTTCCACCTAAAGCTAGCGGTACGCGCCGCGACGGCAAGCGGGGATTTCGGCGCCGCGGCAGTGTCGTTCGCCGCGAGCCGTGCAGAGAGCGGCGCGTGTTTCGTCTCGACAGACGAGCATCGCACGATGCCGCCGTACAGCGCCACGTCACCGCTGGGTGACGTGTCCTGTAGCCCTCGGAAAGACATGGAGGAGAGCGAACCGGGGATGATGGTCGGAGCGGCGCCGATAGACGGGCCGTCCAACGCGGCGGGAGATGCGGAGGTAGTAGGATCGCGGCGGCTGGAGAAAAGACGCGACAGCGGGCGCCGTCTGGGCGGTGGCGCCGCCATCGCGTCGCTCTGTTGCTGCCCTTTCGAGAGATTACTAGTAGCGTCAACTTCGCCGGGTTTCGAGTCGCCGTCGCGCGGTTTCTCTTTCAAAAACGACCGAAAGTCAGAGAACGAAATGTTCCGCGCGTGCCCTCTCTGCCGCCCCCGCCCTTCCGCGCCATTTCCGCCAGCCCCGCCCGCCGGCGCGGCGCCACCACCAAACGCGCTGTCCGCAAGTTGCGCGGCGCCTTCTTCGAGACTAAAGTCCGCCCAGAGCTCTTCCATATCTATTGACGAGGTAGCTCTATGGCGGATCACCGACGCGAGCGGGCTGCGCACGGGGGTGAGCGCGGCAGGCCGCCAAGCTGCGGAAGCGGAGCTTCCGCCGCGGGGGGACAGAAGCGCGGAGGCGGCGGAGCCATCGGGGGAAAGCAGCGCGGAGGAGGAGCTGTCGGAGGAGAGATTTGACGGGGAAAGCACGCGGTCGCTCTCTCTTCCGCTGGTGGTTTCCGCCCATCGTACCGCGGGTTGCGGGGACCTGGGGGAGAGTCGATGCCTGGGGCTTTGCGCGGGCGCGGAAGAATCCAAGGTCCGCGCACGGCGTTGCGGGCGGGGCCCGCCGGGGCATTCAATGGGCGCGCAGCGGGAGCGCGGCGGGGGGAGGGTTTTTGGCCTGTCTAAAAATCGAGGAAGGTCGGACGGGGGTATGGAGGTTGATACTATCGGGCTTAACGAGTCCCCCACGTTTGAGCCCATGAGGATGTGCTTCTAACGAGGGATAACCGAGGGACTATGTTGGGCTAGAGGGGCAAAACGTATATACTTTGAGGTTGCAGAATAGAAGATATTCATGGCAGTTCGGCCAGTTGGAAGTACCATGGTTTGCTTGTGCTGAAGGGAATTCACGGCTTGGGCTCGTCTCGTACAATTTTGTTTTGAACTGCAGTTACGTGTACTGCAGGCAGCGAGAGAGCTGCCCTCCCGCTCGCTGGGGTGTGTGCGTGAGGGGGAGGATGAATGCATGTCCAGCAAATTTCTTATCAATTCAGAAATAGCTCAACGGTTTTATGTGGTTTGTCGCGCTCAGAAACGGTAATGAAGCAAAACTCCTCTAGATACGACGATTATGGAGTGAGCGGAGTGACTACTGAAGTGATGAGGCTCGGTGCTGTAGAGACCAGATTGGCAAGTGATTATATACGATGTGCGTGTTTGTCACAATGTTGATTGGCTGAACTGTACGGTTGTCGTGAGGGGACGCACATGGCAGGCTGGTTGTGGATTTTAATAAGACGACAACAACGTATCTTCCCGTTGCCATGGAGAATATCGTGCGTTCGGTAGGTTTGTTCACCGAAGCTGACGGGTGTTGGGGGCTTCTGTGTACACTGCCCGAACAGTGATTTATGGAACCATTCCGTGTTTTGAACTGTACAGTGTCTTATGGGACCATTCCACCAAGAACAGAAGGGCGGGGAGATGAAGCGGGTCCAACAAGAACAGCACAGAGTGGAACTTTCTGCCCAGAAAGTCATATGCCACCCCAGTTTGCCAGAGTGAAGCAAAGGTGGGACAGCCGAAGCGGCGTGCTAGTACAGTTGTTGCCGAGTCAGGTGGTTGTTCTGTACCAGCAGTCAAACGTCGGGAAAAAACCTACTCTACTCCGATAGTGAAATCCTCGCTGACTCGTTACAATCGCACATGTGCACTTGTGAGAGGTTGATTCCTGTATTGTTGTTGTTCGTGCAAAAATACTGCCCTGGCACAACCACGTAGGCGGTTCTGGTTGGACCACGTTTCAAGCCTGCCCACATTCCGCAACAGCATTTTGACGCCTCAAGTTTGCCCAGCCTCCACATAAACCCACACATTACTGTCAGTGCTCCGTTTATAAAAAGCATTATCTTACCCAATCCGTCGTAACTAGACCGTCCGACTGCGAGATTGTTGTGCGGATAGTGAACTACGGGACCGACACCAGCAATGGCTGCCGCCGCGGTATCCCTTAGCTCCACGTCATGCACGCATCGCACTCTTTCCTCCCCTGATGAACCTCAAAATGCTTCGTCGCTTCTGTCTCTGCCGTCACTCGCGCCTCCTGTCTCCTGCGCGAGACGACGAGCAGCACCGACCTTGCCGCGATTCACGGCGACCGGAGCGCGTGAATGTGCACCACGACGAGCAGTGTCATTAAGGCGTTCGATCGCGGCGCGAGCTTCTTCAGACGATAGCGGTTCCGCCGAAACCTCGCCTGCCGAAGCTTCGCCGAAGCCCCCGCCAGCAGCGCAACCCGCCACGCCTCCTCCGCAGCAAGGTGCGAACTCGGAACGAAGCAGGCTCTGCTCTTTTCGGGTCGGTTTAGTTTGGTTCAGTGTGGTTCGGTTCTGTTTCATTGACACAAAATAACAAAACTGCGGCAAACCTAGTGGAACCATGAATCTGTAACGAGCGGTACTGTCTCGAATCGTGCGAGTTTATAACATCTCAGTGAGTTACATTCCAAGATAAATGCACCAAGGCTGCTGCTGCTGCCGTGGCGGAACAAACCTCATCGCAAAGGGAAGGCTAGTGAAGCTTCAGATGCTCTCAACGAGGTCTGCAGCTTTACACGAATGGTGCTTCTCACTACTCTCCGACTTCCCCCTTCCCCAACCCTTTCCCCCATTCGTCCTCCTCCACCCCCCCGCCTTCCCCCTCCACTTCCCCGCCTTCCCCCCATCCCTTCCTCCTCACCCTCAATACCAGCAAGCCTTTTCCCCTTGCTTACCTAACTCCCTCTCTCCCGCCCTCCCTTTCCCCTTCCACTCTCAGCTCTCCCCATTCCTGCCCATGGCTCCTTCCCCTCGCCCCCCATTCCTCCCTCTCCCCCCCCTCTCCTCCCCTCCCGCTTCTCCCCTCCCCCTCTCTCCCCAATATCATTAATTGTGTATGCGCTGCAATTTCTTGAGCCTTATAAATATGTACGTCTCCATTCCTTCTTTTTAACACTCCGTCTCGTCTGTGCTTGCTCCCTGAGCAGGCTTGGTGAAGGGCCAGGTGACTGCCATTGTCACAGGAGCCGTTTCTCTCATCCTCGCTATAGGCTACCTCGCTTTAGTGCAGCTGCTAGACTCCAGAGGGTTGCAGATGTTGCCTCCCCCACCGGAAGCCTTTGGCCCCTGAAGCAATGTACCGGTACATGATAGTCTCCATAAACTGAGTTTAGCAGTGTATTGGTGCAATAAAATATATTTAGTGGATTGAATATACCGGTAGTAAGCTCCAGAAATCTCAAAATCTGGTGTACTTGTTCCCACTGCACAACTATCTACCATGTACAACTGCGAGTGTCAGATACGTATCGGCATGAGCCATAGAAACATCTACAGTGACTTTGCCAATTGGGGCCCTTGCATAAACGGCAAGGACGCCACCCTACTGACTCTGCTCTCAAGGAGAGTCCTACCAGCCACCATTCACAGCTGGCATAGCCAGGCGATGCCTGCCTGCCTGGCTCTGAAAGAGACATCTGATTCTGATCCCAAAACGTGAGTCCCGGTTCCCAAGGAAAATCCCATCACCTTTGACAGCTGGCATTTCTGGCTTTTGAGACGCCTCAAAAGTCAAGACGAGAGTCCCAGGCCCCAGTTCCCAAAGCATACCGTATCTCATCACCTTTGACAGCTGGCGTTTCTGGCAGCTACCGTAGCCCTCCAATCCATCGCAACGCAACACCAGTGCAGGTGGCATTGCATGGCAGGGCTTCGGAGGTGCCTCAAGACAATGGGAGCCCTGCTGAAGGGTTTTTTTGAGAATTCTCAAAAAAACCCTTCAGGGCTTTGGAGGTGCCTCAAGACAATGGGAGCCCTGCAATGCCTTCGGAGCGCACCAAACCTTCCCTTTCCCATCATCCACAACCCATCCTTCCATAACCCATAACCCATCGCACACAGCAAAGAATCACATCAACCACAGAGTAACCCAAGCCTCCTCCACCGCTCTCCTGTGTGCGATCTCGCACTGAAGGAGCCTGTATGTGGGGTGGAGCAAGCAGCATATCACCAACACTCCACTTGTCCTCCCATCACACACACAGCCACCCACAGAGTACCCCAAGGCCCCTTCACTGGTCAAGCATTGAGGCGCATCGACACACACACTCCTCCTCTCCCCCCGTCCCCCCCCTTTCCATTTACCCATAGCCCAGCATCACATGACCCACAGAGTACCCCACGCCTCCTCCACGGCCCTCCTGTGAGCGATCTCCACCGTCCATCCGCCAGCCTTCTGCCCCTTCAAGATCCGAGCCTGCTGCTGCTCCGGAGTCAGGCTCGGCGCCGAGCCTAGGCTGCTGTCGGTATGGTGCACAGGCATGGGCTGAAGCATTCCCATTGGCCGAGGGGGGAAGGCCCCTCCAGCTGCCATGTCCCCTGCTCCTGCTGCTGCTGCTGAGGCAAAATCGGTTGCCATTTCTAACTGATCTCTCTCCTGTTGCTCTATCTGCAATGGAGAGGAAAAAGAAGGGCGGGGTGAAAGGGGAGAAGAGAGAGAGGGGAGGGAAGGCTCCTCCTGCTGCCATGTCCCCTGCTCCTGCTGCTGCTGCTGAGGCGAAGACGGTGGCCATTTCAAGTTGGTCCCTCTCCTGCTGCTCTATCTGTAGAGGAGTGGAAAGGGGTTGGGAGGTTTGGAGGGTCAAAATGAGAAGATTGGGAGGAGAGGTCACAAAACGAATTATACACACACACATACCCCAAACACTTCCCGTATACATACCTGGCCCATTACACCCCATACAAATTCCACCCATCCGCACCCCATACACACCCTCCCCATTCACTTCACACTCCCCAAAAGGATGCCTCCCCTGGTATGGCCAGCAGTGCTGCTGCTCTCCGCTTCATGCTCCCCCTTACTCACCCACACTCCATCATACTCCCCCACACTCCATCATACTCCCCCACACTCCACCATACTCCCCCTCCACTATACTCCCCCACACTCCACCATACTCCACCATACTCCACCATACTCCACCATACTCCACCATACTCCCTCACACACAGATCTCAACCCCCATTCCCAATTGGTAAACGGACAATTCACCTGGTTTGGCGGCAGTGCTGTTGCTCTCAACCCCATATTCCCCCATACCCCCCAATACCCCCCCATATCCCCCCATACCCGCCCATATCCCTCCATATCCCTCCATATCCCTCCATATCCCTCCATATCCCTCCATATCCCTCCATATCCCTCCATATCCCCCATATCCCCCCTTTCTTTACATGCAGCACCATTTCCACCCCTACCAGCTGATACATGGACAATTCCCATGATTTGGGCGGTAGTGCTGCTGCTCTTACCTCCATACTCCCTCATACCTCCCCATGCTCCCCCATACTCCCCCCAACTCCCTCATCATCCCCCATAGTCTTTCTTCAAAAACCTACCAGCTGATACACGGACGATTCCCCTGGTTTGGGCGGCAGTGCTGCTGCTCTCAGCTGCGTACCCTCCCATTGCCCTCCATACCCCTCCATACCCCTCCATACCCCTCCACACCCCCCCATACTCCCCCAGAGCCTTAAAGACCCCTACCAGTTGGTACACGGACGATTCCCCTGGCTTGGGCGGCAGTGCTGCTGCTCTCAGCTCGGCTGCTCGGCGCTCCGCCTGGTGTAAGGACGGGGAGCCACAAGAAGGGGAGGAGTAGAGGAGGACGGGAGGGGGGTGTGAGATGCGCAAGGGTGAGATGAGTATGTCTGGCTTGTTTTGGCGGCAGCGCTGCTGCTCTCTGCTCGGCTACGTGGCGCGCTGCATGGTGTAAGCAGGGGGAGAGTTGGGTAAGAGAGAGGGTCGGGTCAGGGGTGGCGAATGGAGGGGGGGCGGGATGAAGAAAAGTGTCGTGTGCCATTGTAATGAGTTGGCTTTTGAGTCGACTCCAAAGGCACCTCAGTAAGAGAGAAAGTCGGAGATGACGAATAGAGGGGGAGCGGGATGAAGAAAAGATGGTGAGGGGGAGTTTGGGGGAGTTTGGGGGAATGGAAAGGGTGAGGGAGGGGAAAATGGAGGGGGCAGGTAAGTGACGGATGCTTCCAGGTTTTATAGCCATAATGCTGCTGCTTCTCACACTTCAAGACACGCCGGAACATGGCAAGATAAGCCTGCGAAAGACGGCGAAACACACACTCATGCGCTTGGCTCTTGCAGCAGCAACGACATCTCGGAAACTCACCTCATACGCCCTCAACTCCTCTCAACCACGCTGTTGCACCGCTCTCCACACCCCTGCACCATGCCCTGCAGACAGGCACTCACCCGCTTGGCCCTGGCAGCAGCAATGCTGTCTCGGTTGTTTGCCTCATACGTCCTCACCTCCGCCTCTGTAGCTGCCACTTCAATCCCCTCCACCAGCCGGAACACTGGGAAGAGGAGAGGGGAGGGAGGGTGTTGGGAGGGAGGGTGTGGGAAGGGAGGGTGTGGGAAAGGAGGGTGTCGGAAGGGAGAGTGGGGGGGGAGGGATAAGGCCAACACATTGTCGCTTCATACGTCCTCACCTCCGCTTCTGTTGCCGCCACTTCAATCCCCTCCACCAGCCGGAACACTGAGAAGAGAGAAGCAGAGGTAGAGAAAGGAAGAAGGGAATAAAGCCAACACGCATGCTTGCCTCGTACGTTCTCACTTCAGCCTCTGTTGCCGCCACTTCAATTCCTTCCACTAGCCGGAACACTGAAAAGAGGGGAGGGGAGGGCGAATGAGGGGAGGGGGGTGTGGGGAGGGCGGGGGAGGGGAGGGAGAGTGGGGGGGGGGGGGGGGGGGGGGGAGGGATAAAGCCAACACATTGTTGCCTCATGCTTCCTCGCCTCCGCCTCTGTTGCCGCCACGTCGATTCCTTCCACCAGCCGGAACACTGGAAGAGGGGGGGATTTTAGGGGGTGGGGTGGGGTGGGGTGGGGTGGGGTGGGAAGGCCTACTAGCTGTTTGCCTCATACGTCCTGACTTCGGTCTCTGTCGCTGCCGCTTCAATCCCTTCCACCAGCCGGAACACTGAAAAGGGAGGGAGAAGGGGGATTTCGGGTTTAAGGGGGGAGCGGAGGGGTGGGAAAAGGCAACACATTTCTCGCCTCGTACGTCCTGACTTCAGCCTCTGTTGCCGCCACTTCAATTCCTTCCACTAGCCGGAACACTGAGAAGAGGAGGGGGGTAAAGTGGAGTAGGGCGAAGGATAAAAGGGGGGATGATGCCAACACGCTGTTGCCTCGTACGCCCTCACTTCCGCCTCTGTCGCCGCCACTTCAATCCCTTCCACTACCTGGAGCACTGAGGAGAGGGGAAGGGAGGGAGAGTGTGGGGAGGGAGGGTGTGGGAGGGCATATTCAACCAGCAAACCTTCCCACCCACCTTCCCACCACCCACCTATGTCCTCCACATGTTCAAGCTAGTCGTTGCACTCGGGGTAAACCACATAGCTGGACGGTCTCCACATGCGCAGAGACGGAGAAACCGTCCAGCTGCCCCGCACGCTCACAGCCCGCCCCTCCACGCACCCTGCCCTGCCCCTCAGGCCCACCCACCTATGTCCTCCACATGCTCCAGGTAGTCATTGTATTCGCGCAGAGAGGGGAAATCTTCCTGCAGCTTGTTGTATCTGGTGGGGTTGGGGGACGAATCACCTGCAGCTCACCACCCTACTACTGAACACTCTCTACCGCTCTTCACCCCTCACTAACTGCCTATACCTGCACTTTCACCCACCTATGTCCTCCACATGCTCCAGGTAGTCGTTGTATTCGCGCAGAGAGGGGAAATCTTCCAACTGCACTGCACCCTCCCAGCACGTCCCTCCACGCACCCTGCCATGCCCCTCACCCACCCAATTATGACCTCCACATGCTCCAGGTAGTCATTGCACTCGCGCATAGACCAGCAACCCCCCCCCCCCCCCCCCCTCACGCCCTTCACTCATTACCCCATCCCCTCCCTCATCCACCCACCTATATCCTCTACATGCTCCAGGTAGTTGTTGGGTTGCACTTGCGCAGAGAAGGAAAATCTTCCCGCAGCTGGTTGTGGGGAGGGGGAAGTGACAAATCACCTGCACCTCACCCTCGCACTGAACATCCTCCACCGCACTTCACCCCTCAGCACCAGCCTGTACCAGGCACATGCCCCTTATCCACCCA